AACCATTGCCGAAATGAGTCCCTGTTTCTGTTCGTGCTGCCAGTTCTAGGCCCCTCAGCAGGCTGGGCTGAGTAAACACGAATTGAACACATTGGTTACTTGGTTCTGCCAGACATACTTTTGCCTGTGGAGAAGAACGCTGCTAACGAGCCAAGGTGAAGATACAGAAGCTGAGCCAAGGACCCAGCCTCTCCCTTCTCTCTGGAACCCCCTGGTCCCACAGTCACCTCCAGCCCAGCCTCTCCGGTCACTGCCCCTCCTGGGCCATGTACTTCCTGAGACACTGGATGTCAGCTGTCCTGATCTCTCACTCCACTTTCCTCAGAACCCTTGCTCCTTTTGGCCCTAAAAAGAGATTAAGATGAAACCATTCTATAGTTATTAGATGCTTCTGTGCTCCCCCCAGATCCCTCTACCGAATTAGCACCAATTTCTCAGTTGTGTTGGTTGCTAAAGGCTCACCACTGTCCCTTCTCTGGGTCTAACAGGAGCAGCATCTGACCCTGGTGTGGGAGGGGGTGGAAGAGTGGCCAGCGGTCAATGACTGACCGATAGCAAGTGCTGCTGGCCAGAGCCTGGCCTCCAGGTGGGACCCTTCGGTGGTTCCCTTTTCTGCTCCTGAGCTCCCGCTGGGATCAGGCTGAAGCTATTGTAGATTCTAGTCTCATTGTCACTCCACTTCCTTCCCTGCTTCTCTCATTCCCTTCTCCCAACAACATCCTTAAATAAATCGCTAGCACCCACATTCCTATCCCAGACCCTGCTTCTTAGGAAACCACAACTCAGGTGACTCCTGTTCCAACGAACTCTCTGGCTCACTGACTCATTTTGTTGCCTTTATAACCCTTATCACGATCTGAAAACCTATTTGAGCTTGTTTCCTTGTCCTGGCTGCCATCCTGGGAACTTAGTAATAGGTGCTTAATGGATGCTTGCTAATGAGCCAGTGACCAAGCTCAGCGTGCAGCCGCAGCAGCCAGGGACCCTCTGCTGCACTGATGGAAATGTGTTTCTCTTTTTAAGGGAGCTGGCAGCATGTTACACGTGCAAAATCTTGTACAGACTGGAAAGGGGAAGTGGGTGTGTGCGTGGGGCAGGGGAGGGGCTTTCTGGGCAGTGCAGCAGCCCCTGGTCAAATATGGCAGCTTTCGGTTCCCCACGCTGCTTAAGCGTGGGCAGCCACTTCCGCTCACTGTGCCTTGGCAGGGTGGCTGCAGAGAATGGACGGGGTCTGGTGGCCCTGTGCTGGGACCACTCTTGTGCACCAGCATCTGCAGTCACCCCGTGAGTGGACACTATCCAAGTCAAGGGAAAGGTTGTTTTGAAAGCATATACTGTTCGGCATTTCCGGAGACGTGTCCAAGTAGTCATCGGAAGGAAGACTGATTGTTAACTCTCCCCCTCGCCCTCAGCTTATAACAACTGCAGCAACACAGGCGGCAGGTGGTGTAGACAGGAGGGAGTGAGGCCATTAGTGTGGTTAAGACTGCGGGGCCTCAAAACCCATCCTCCCTTGTACAAGGCGGGCAAGCCGAGACATGTGACCCTAGTTCTCGGTGCCTCAGTGCAGCATAAGAGCAGTGCCCTCCCACCCACAGGGCTGCTGTGCATTCAGGGAGTTAGTAGACGTCACTGCACAGTGGAATAAATATCAGGGTCGCCACAGCTCCTTCGTTCTGCCATCACACGAGTATATCATTACCCTGGGCCTGCCTCTCCCTTCCATGTCCCAGGCCTCCCTGCACCCGGCTCACGCCTTCCCAACTCCCACACCATCCTCTTACCTGGCTCCACCCCCCCGGGATCTAGGAGAGCAGGAAAACCTGCCTCTCCCTGAGTTCCAGGCATGTGTGTGCTTCTATAGTATAGAAGTAAAATAAATTCTATTGTGAGACAACGTGGGGGTGAGTGGGGAACTGTATCTTAAAGACAGAGGAGTGAGACAGATTTTATGTAGCAAGAGGAGGGCAGAAACTTTCAGGAAGATCTTTCAGGCTCTGCGGGTGAGGGTGGGGCAGGAATAGACCGAGAAATCCCACGGTTTGTGTCCAGGAGATTCCTGTTCTCATCTTTCCACAAAGAAACAACCTGGGAGATGGACCCCAAATTACTCAGTTCCACTTAGCCCAGGCACATTGGACCCAAATTAAAGCAGCTTCTGTCCTGGCCAATATGTGGCCGATCAGATGCAGCCCCTCCCACCTCACCACCCTGCTGAAATCTTCCTCAGGTGGCACCTCTGGGACCAGGGACAGAGCAGAAGCAGTGAGGCAGTAGTGCCAGCAGTGGGGAGACTCCCCCAGACCCTCTGTCTCATCTTGACCTCTGGCCACAGGCTCAGCCTGGCTCTGAACACCCTAGGGGGACAAGTGGACAGGGTTGGATGTCTCTGAGTCATAATCCCGCTGGGCTGAGGAGATGGATAAACTGGGTGTCTACTTTTCTCTTGCTTATGTCATCCCCTCAGCTGCCACCCTTCTTCTGGAAATGTCAGTCATGAGTCACTGATATGGGGCTGTGAGTTTTGAACACCCCAATGTTCTGGCTGGAGCCCACTGCCCTCATCAGTAAAATGTGGGGGAGCGGTTTTGACTTAAGGATGCATTTTGCTCTACGTTCTTCTGATCCTGCAAATCATCCTGGCCAAAGGTGAGACTTCTTACCTTGGTTTTTCTCGGGTGTATCATGGAAGTATGTTGGGCAGCTTGAGAGAGGAGACAGAGTCTTAGTCATCCAGCATCCTGGCCTTGCCCATCCAAGTGTGGACGCAAGCCTGAGGAAAGGGAGCGATGGACAGGCCAGGTTCAAGGCCCCTTCCAGGCTGGGGGATTCTCAGGTCCTTGCCGTGTCCCTAAGACCAGTCCTGACCTCATCTGGCTCAAGTTGTTTCTGGTTTGTCATTTACCCTCTCCAGAATCTGGGTCACTTCGTCCTCTTTATTGGGTTTTTCTGTCAAAATTTCCTTCTTGGAGTTTACCACCCTTCTCTCTCTCTCTCTCTCTCTCTCTCTCTCTCTCTCTCTCTCT